TTATATACAGTGTAACCCGGATATAAGAGAGATTTTCTCTGGTCCCAAATTAGAGCCTGTGTTAATGTATATAAAATAGACCAAACCCGGATATAAGAGACTTCGTCTCTGGTCCCGACAACTCTGTTATATCCGGGTTACACTGTATCAATTTTTATATATCAAGAACAATTTGGGAGGGAAAAATTTTTTCCACTTTGTCATTCGTCTTTCAATCTTTGTAAAAGGTTAACCTTTTTTTTAGTGAAAAAAAAGTTGGGGGGTTCCGTGAAATTTTTTATGGGTGATATAATGCTTGCCTTTCCCTTCTTTCATTTCCGTTCAAGTCGACTGAATATCACGTGAGCGTAAAACTCAGGTTACAACTAGGGCCATCCTTTCATGGGATTTAACGTTGGTAAGCATTATTTGCTCGATCTAGGCAATATGGGCTTCGAGCACTTTACTGAGTACACAAGCTTTTAGGGACGTTCTTCTCTTCTTTTTTTCAGTATTGTCGGTTTTATTCAAGACTGTATCTGGATAAGAGTTTTAGGTTTTGGTAAGTTGTCCATTGGTTCCATCGACAGTTTTTATTTTTCTTATTTATAAGTCGGGTTTCGATCCCGGCTTTGAGGTCACACTGATGAGCTGTGATACAGCGAAACAGTCTGTGAATGATAATATATAAGACATGCTATATTTATGGATTAAAGTGCTCAATATCAGGGATAGAGCATATGTAAATATAAAAGTGGTCATTGAAGTCAAAATCCAGAGATCCACTTATATACGTGTATGTGTGTGTGTGTATTAAAATATCAGAATAAGTGTCTATAAAAAAAGACACTATGAATAAAAAAGAAAAGATAGACTTATTCTGTCTATGCCTTCATAAAGTCCCACAGAGGATGAAACGCATCTGCTATGATAAGTTTTTTTTTTGTCTTTATATCTTATATATATATATATATATATATATATATATATATATATTAAAAAAAGAAGAGAAGAGAGGTGCCGCAATATTTTTGCTTGTAATGTGGATTTATTTAGACACAGAATTCAAGAAAGAAATTCAGATTACCAACACACAAACAGAAAATGTCTCATATCGAGAATATTTAACATTGAAAATATAGAAAAAAATTAATTATTTTTTAATCATTGGAAATCTCCAATTTTTACCTGAAGACGGTCGTCGAGACCAGAAACACGTGTCGTAAAATTATGTAAAACAAAGCATAATATTTTTTCTAAATAAATCCACATTACAACCAAAAACGTTTGCGGCACCTCTCTTCTCTTCTTTTTAATATACATACTTTTCTCTCGTTGGAAAATTTTTATAACCTTTTTATATATATATATATATATATATATATATATATATATATATAAAGCAATATACTTTTTAAGGTGTGCTATATTTATGGGATAAAGTGCTCAATATCAGAGATAGAGCGTATAAAATATAAATATAAAAGTAAACATGAGGAAATTGAAATCAACACTCATGAGGTGACAGGCTATTTTTATGCTAGACGCAATCGTCAGGCCGCCTGACGATTGCGTGCATTAATGAAACAGCCTGTCACCTCTGAGTGTTGACTTTCACTTTTATATTTATATATATTTTAAGATTATTACAAACAGTAAATATCTGGATGAGAAAGTGTGCTTTCCTTTAAAGGGGAAAAAAAAGCCTTGGTGTAGTGTGACACTTTTTTTAGCCGTGTGATAAAGCACGTCACGTCGAATCAAACGGTGTTTTCTCCTACAAAGGATGACGCAGGTTCGATACCTGCTGAAGAGTATATTTTCTTTAAGATTTCTCAAATGCGCAGGTCGGAGAATGTAATACACACTAGCCATCCAAATCGGTTAAGGGTGAATGAAATCCATCATTTTACACACTTTTTTTTCTGACGGATGATGTCATTTATTCTTGATTCGAGGAAAGTGAGGTTAAAAAAAATCTCAACACCTATAAACAAATATTAAAAGATTAGTTTTAATCTGGTTTTCCTATTTGAATTTTTTTATGAATCTTAACTCTTAAGTTAATGATTGAATGCGCTCATGGCGATTTTGACAACCCTATTGTTAAATATTTGAGCTTAACAACGTTAACAAAATATTTCAATAACAATTATAAATATGAACACTGGTCGTTATTTAAAGAAGGGGGTACAAATGAAAAGATTTGAAATTGACATTTTTCCATTTCACTAAAACAGCCATTAAATGCTTCTTTCATTCATTAAGTAGTGTCTTTTTCACGCGATCAAAATGGAACAGTCAGCTATTTATGAGCTATTGATAGGACGTAACGATCGTGCAAACTAACGAAGAGCTGGACAAGCCCAATTGTAATAGGAATGTTAATATTTCAAAGTTCGAGAAAGAGTTTTTATCGAGCATTTTATTGATCTGCCAGTACACATCTGTACCGAATGATAATCAAATCTGCTAAATTGTGACAAAGGTTTTGAGTAAGATTATTGCTCAGCCTTTGTGAAGTTAGGAAGAAGACAGATTTTCCTAGAAAAGCCAGGTTATATTTAGATATAATTTTCCTGTTTTTTTTTTTGTTTTTTTTTTTACAGCTTATCAACACTTGGTGGGTTACTTGAAGCCTAACATATTTTGAAATATAAGAATTTTTTTTTTGTGAGTGGATATTGTGTTAAAAATATTTGGAGAATGAATGATTTTTTCAGATACAAGTCCTACTATTTAACCCATAGCTGGGAGAAGAAGATGGATTCATAATTTTTACCCAAGGGTATTGCGTTTGACTGGAATTCGAACTTGTTTTTTTTCGTTTTCTCATTCTGATCAGCTATTACACCACCTGCACACCCACGCATCAAAATCAGACAGTCATCAAGGAACCAATAGCAGTTCAAATTGAAATCACGCTAATCTCATGAATCGTTATTTCTTCCCAAAACAATCCGAGCAAAATACGTAAGAATAAATCTAAATTGGTAGAAAGTTCCTGAAAGCAATTTTTTCATTCATTTCAGATGAATTGGATGCTCAGTCAGTGTAATAATCGGGAGATTGGAAAGAGAAGTTAGTAAAGCAAGTTTGTTATGTTCCCTTTTGCACTAATACCCTTGGGAAAGGTAAAAATCTATCTCTTTCCTAAACAAGGAGTTAAATAGCAGAGCTGACACGGCTCGCTAACATGGAGTGTCAACCTGTCTAGGAGAAAAAAAATTATATACAAATTCGCCCTAATCTATCTTGTCCTCAAGATGGCTGGGGCTGTTATGGCAGCAGCACATGTGGTGTCCCTATTACCTATGGAACTAGTTTTTATAAATCACAAGTTTTGCCAAAATTTTTTTACATAAAAACAGCCGTCTTGATTCTACTTTGTGGCACATCATATCCACTTTTCATATTAAAGAGTTTTTGGTCTTTCAAAGGAAGACGTGAATGAGTCCAAATACAGTCTTTGGCCAACTTAAGAAAATTTCTAAGATTTCGACATTTTTAAATTTAAAAGCCAAACTTTATTGCATAATGTCTTATACAAATTGTCCTACATAAAATTTTGCTCTTTTAGAGAAGGAGAAGGAGGTGAGGGAGGATTTCCAGTGTTAAGGAAAATTAAAAGTAGCAAGAATTCCTGAAATTGGAAGTAACATTTCCAAGAGAAAGAATTGCTGAAATTGAATCAAGATTCAATCTTGTAGATTTGCCTTTGTGAAAATTCACAGCCATTTTGGAGAAAAAAAATGTTGGAGGGGGCATTTGAATTACTGACGAGGTGGAGTTCAAATTTTCACAGCAGGTACTCAAAGGAATGTGAAGTTGTTCTGACCACACCCATTTTGCTGTCTGTCACGGGGTTCAAAAAAGAAAAAAAAAAAAAAAAAAGTGAAAATGGGGGAGGGGGAAAAAACACACATATCAGAATGTAAACAACAAAAATATATAAGTGGGCTTTTTCCATTTATTTTTTTAATATTTTTTTATTTTTGTTTTTAATTATTTTATACAGACATAAGGTTGAAAAATTTTACAAGCTGAATCTGTACTTCAGTACAAGCATGTTGCTACTCCTAACCATTATAAAGGGTGGGGCCCACCCAGGATGGAGTGGATCATCCTACCACACACACACACACACACACACACACACAAGCAACAATAACTATTTGTCACCACAAGATCCAGCTGAGACCACTGTGGGTGGCTAAGTGTGTGTGTGTGTGTGTGTATGCATATGTGTGTGTGTGTCTATATGTATATGCACACACACACACACATATATGTATATATACATACACACACAAACACACAATTTTCATTAAAGACAACTGACAAGGTACTGTAGTTAAAAGCTTTCTATTTCATTTTTCTTGTGTTCATATAAGATCTTTTTTTTTTTTTCTGGACATAAAATGTGTAAAAATTGTCTGAATGTTCTACTTATGTGAGTGCTTTCAGTTATACGTTTAGCCATTATCAAGAATGTTTATTTCTATTTAACTGAATGTCTAAATTTAACATCAACTATGAACATGGTCACAATGTGCTGACAGTGTTTGGGAAAAAATCTACACATTCAGTTAAAAATAAAAAAAAAAAAAAAAAAAAAAAAACATCCTTGATAATGGCCAAAAGAACATTCGGACACACTTTTATGCACTTTATGCTCAAAAAAGAAAAATAAATTACACAAACAAAAAAAAATTAAATAAAAAGCTTAACCATTGTATCTCATCAGTTATCTTTAACGAGATTTTGTATAAAAGAGGGATTGCTGCCCAAATACACAATTATATATATATATATATATATATATATAGAAAGATGTGTTTGTATGCGTGAAAGAGGTGGGGTACACACATGGGCACCTGGATGCATAGCTCTGTCTGGGTGTATCAGTGGGGTGCCTCAGTCAACACTGGCTTTCTGATCAGGACAGAGAAGCCTTCAAGTCAGTGTGTGACCAATCATCATCCCCCACCCCTCAGTGTCTCTGCCCAGACGCTATTCACTAGTTAAAGTGAAAAATAGCCGAGCATGGGTCAGTCATCATCTCATGGCTAGCAAAGAGATGGTTAGGCTGAGAGAGAGAGAGAGAAAGAGAGAGAGAGAGAGGGGAGGAGGAGAAAGAAAGGAAGGAAGAGTGAGGAAAAGGCTGTTGCTTGCCATTGAAGGGCAGGGGAGGGAAGAGTTAGGGTTTATATACATACATTTAGATATATAAGGATAAAAAAGCAATCATATTTCAGTTTGATAAAAAGTTAGTAAATAAAAATCACATACACCAGCTCACAGGAAAAGGAAAAAAAAAAAAAAAAAAAAAAAAAAAAGAAAATGAAAAACAAGAAACAATAAGAAACTGTTTGAAGGCAGCTTTGAAAATACTGTTACCCAACAATACAAGAGCCACTTATAAAGATTCTCAGATTGTGTTTTCTGTAGCCTCTCCCACCTCGTAATTTGGAATCCATGTGTTCTGTTCCCAGGGTGTAGTTCTACTCACTCTGATGGTGTAGAGGATGGGGTTTGGTGAAGTTGGGGAATCCTCCCAAAGTGACCCCCCCCTTCCACTAGCCTTAAACTTTGTCTTTTTTTTGTTTTTTTATTTATTTCATTTTTTTTTTTTCATAATTTTTACTTGTCAAAATATTTTAGAGAACAAATGCAATTCCACTCTTAAACCCAAGTTGCCACTTTCCTTTAGATCTGTGAGAAATGAGCTGACCCCTGACCCTGCTAAAGGAGGAGGGTGAAAGGGGTTAGGGTTAGCCACAGGGACATCGTCCACTTTCATCAATGATAATGGAATGAGTGGTCAGCCTGAGAACACAAAACTTCTTATAATGACCTTGAAACATTTAAAAAAAAAAAAAAAAAAAAAAAAAGTTAATAATAATAATAATAATAATAATGTTGTTTCATGCACCAGACATTCAAATAATTACTAGATTCGGTGATAAATTTTCAACATTAGAATCACTCCAAACAATAAGCTTTACCAAGTTTGATACAAAAACTAGGGTGAGGGAATCTTTATTAATATTTGGGAAATTTCTTTGTAAAAAATATTTTTCCTGAACAGAATTCTGACCAGAGTCAAACAATAATTTTAGGATTGCAACACTGATAGTGGCACATTGGACCCATTTTAAGTTTCTTCTTCTCAATTAACAGCACTTAGGGTCATTCAGTGCATTCATACATACACACAAGTCAAATTTTGAATAGGATTTAAAACAATTGAGCTATAGATTTTTTAAATAAATCTTTTTTATTTCAATAAAATGTATAGTTAATCAACACAAAACTTTTAGATCCAGCACGATTATGCATATATATAGATATGCATATATATATATATATATATATATATATATATATATATATATATATATATATGAGTGTGGTTGTGTGTAAAATTAAAAAAAAAAAAAAAAACAAACATCTATACATGTAAAGTTTTTGCCAACATTTCAAAGCCCTTCCCCTCTCGCTAACACAAATATTTTTTAAAAGAAAAAGGATTAAAAATTAAAGAAAAAAAAAACGATAACAGATTGCTTAGATTAAAAGAACCCAAGGATAACAAATTATAAAATTATTAAGGCAGGTCTCTAACTAAAAGTTGTGTCAACTGGGGGTGGGGGGTTCAAGTTGGTGGTGCCCAGGCCACAGAGACAGCCCCAGGAATTTCAGGTATGTATTCCACTTCCACAGCCAATGGCGCCACCAAATCAATTATTAGAATCTAGCCTTGCAGAACACATTCTTTGAGCAACACTTGAAACAGTTGAACACAATTTTGCAATGATTGGCAAACAAAGAATTCAGTTAGTAAACTAAACAAAAACAAAAAAAATTGAAGGGGGGGGATGTGTGTGTGTGTGTGTGTGTGTGTGTGTGTGTGTGTGTGTGTGTGTGTGTGTGTGTGTGTGTACCAAAAACATTTCCAGGAATAAAAAATAAGGGTCTAACATATCTCAAGACAAAACTGGCCACAAGATTTTCAGTTTCAATGTGTTGGGTTGGTTCTGCACAGAAAAGTGACATCAGTGGCAATGAGTGTGGGGGTGGGGGGAGGGAAAAAGAGCGTATGTGGCTTGGAGAGGGTGGGGAAGGTGGTAGTAGTTGTCATCATGTGACTGCAACCCCCGCACCCGCACACCAGCCGTTCATGCAGGTAGATGCGGAAAAAATCAAATCTGACAAGATATTACAAATTGGCTCAGGTTTACACCTGATTTTTACAAATGAAAATAAATTTTCTCAGACAAGCAACATGTCAACTAACACAGACTAGAATAGGTTTCTATCTTTCATCTAGACTTTTATCACAAAGAGTGGAGAGTCTTGCCAAGTGGTGGCATTTGTGCGGATACAGATCATTCCATCGTCATCATCATCATCATCATCATCATTAAAGTCAGGATTTTTATTTTTTTTTATTTTTTTGTTTTGTTTTTTGTTACCTCGTTAGAAAGAGTCTGCAGAATAAACAGTGTGAAATCAACAATAGAAATCATTCACTAACACGGAATAAAAGTAAAAAGTCAAACGCAGTCCCCTTTCACATCAAGGGAGATTGTATTTTTGTGGGGTTTTCTTTTTTTTTTTGTTCTTTTTTTAAAATGGGATTAATTTATAGAAGTGAACATGAGAAAGTGGGAGAAAAAAAAGGAAAAGGGGAGAAAGAAGAGGAAAAGGGGAGAAAGAAGAGGAAAGGAAGAGGTATGAAGTTGGAAGTAAATCCAGGTGTTGTGGTGTACGAACAACTGACAGAAAATCCTGTCCCTATAGTCAAGGGGGTTTGGCGTATGCATGTGTGTGTGCGTATGTGTGTGTGTGCGTATGTGTGTATGAAGGGAGAATAAGTGGGAAGGAGGAAGAATAAATAGCTTCAAACTGAAGCTTCAGTTAGACAAAAATCTGTTAACAAACTTTCATGTGCAGGTATAATAAATAAATCTAGGAAATGATGAGAAGAGTCTTTGTTCAACAGGAAAGGGATTTTACACTCAGACAGACACACACGCAGACAGACACACACTCAGACAGACAGATACACAATTTCAAACTAAGGAGGATATTTTTTTTAATCCATAAAAGTCTCACTGGGTCATAAATTCTTTCAATTTCATAACACAGTAAATTTTTCTTTTGTTTTTTTGTTTTTTTTTCTCTCAAAGTGAACAACAACAACAACAAAACATTCATCATTAAAAATAAGTGGTTTATAAAAACTTTAAAAAATGAGACCTTTTTTGTTTGTTTTTTTTTTTTTGTTTGCTTGCTTTCTGACCCTTCCCTACCCCCAAGAAAGAAAAAAAAAAACCTTAGCGAGGCGGAGGAGAGAGAGAGAGAGAGGGGGAAAGAATGATTGACCAATGGCAAAAATGAAATGGACAAGAAGAGAGACTACAGAATCAGTGATTGGCTGTGTGCGTGCACTTGTGTGCGTGTTTGTACGCGCAAATGTATATGTGTGTGTGTGTGTGTGTGTGTGTGTGTGTGTGTGTGTATCAAATCCCTGATCTGGCAGGAAAAAGGATTGAAAAATTTATCTAAGATGTTAATCACAAAAATGCAAGAAAATGCCAGTCTTTAATCACACTGGATTTAGCAAGAATTTTTTTTTTTTTAGGGTTCTGGGGGGGGGATAGAAAAATGGATAAAAGTGTTTATTTGATGAAGTTTCCACCTATTGCAATTTTTGGTGACATAGAAATATCAATGCTACACACTGAGAGCCGAAAAAAAAAAAAAAAAAAAAGGAAGTGAAAAAAGGACAAAGAAGAGAAGTGGGACATTTGTTTTGAACCCCACCTACCCAGCCATGGTATTTGTGTGTGTGTGTGTGTGTGTGTTTATTAACGGCCATACTGTGTAATGGTCAAACCTGAAAACCAACAGGCATGAGACAAAAAAACAAAAAAAAAAAAAAAAAAAAAAAAAAAAAAAACTGTGTGCGCACTGGCAGCTGAGACACTGGGACGGGGTCATATGGGGTCACATATCTTCGACTCCAAGGGGAAAAAAAATAACCAGAAACAAAATGTGAAATGACCAGTGGTCATTCTTAGATAACTGAGTGGGTGAAGGGAGCAACCAACAATGACACCACTACCCACCACAACCACCACCACCATCCACCAGTTGCTACCCTCATAACAAGGACAGTCAGAGGAGGAGGAGGAGGAGGAGGAGCAGGGGGTGGAGAGGCTGGTACACAACGAGGCTTTTTAGGGATAGTAATGTAACAGACTCAATTACAAATCAATGTCACTCTCTCTCTCTCTCTCTCTCTCTCACTCTCTCTCTCTCTGTCAAACAAGAAACCAGCTCCACAGAAGCCAGATATTTTGATCCCCATTAATGAAATTATTTGGTAAAGGTTAACCCTGAATAAGTTGTATCCTGCAAAACACTACAATGGTTAGATCACTCGGAACGGCTTGTTAAAGTAAGAGGGAGTCTGGGAAGGGTGATAAAGGGTGTGGGAGAGACAGAGTCTCATGCCTGTGTTTATACACAGTAGGGTCTGTGTGCGCATCTTAAAGGAATTAATATCAGAATAAAAAAGGGTTATTTTTTTTTAGGGATTTTTAAAAAAGAATTGAATTTGACAAATAACTAGGAAGAAAATCAAAAGGCAATAAAAACTTTAGACATACAAAAGTGTTTTTTGCAATAGAGTTTAAAAACCTATAAACAATTTTATCACTGACAAAATACAAATTTCATAGGATGCTCTATCACAATGACCTGTACTATCCACTCTTCCCAGCCCATCCAATAAGAGACAGTTGTCTATTCTTTATTGACAGTCATAGGGCAGGGAAGATGGAGTAGGGGTAGAGGGTGAGGCTTCTTAGAAAGCCCCTTCCCCCCTTCCCATTGGCTACAAGAAACAAAAAGGTGACAAGCCTGTACAACCTAAAAGAAAAGGTTTGTCTAAGCTTTTATCCACCAACCAGTCAACAATTTCAGCCACAGGAGACATTGTTCTCAATAACACATTTTCAGATTCAATAAGTTTTCATATTTAAATTTTTATTTTATATATAATTTTATTTGTATGTTTTTACTGTGTGTGTGTGTGTGTGTGTGTGTGTGTGTGTAAGAGAGAGGAGAGAGAGAGAAAAAGAGAGAGAAATTTTTTGTTGTTTAATTCAATATATGTTGTTTTTTTTTTCATTTTTTTCTTCAAGTCTTTGATTGCACTGTGTTTGTCATTCAAAAGTGATGGTGAGGGAGATGAGGCCAGCAAAGCATGCAGAAAGATCTCACCCTTGCAAAACCTGTGGGTACCACCAAAGTTGATGCTACTTGAACATTCGAAAAGCCTGTGATTTCTCAAGTCAATCTAATGGTAGTGGTGGTGGTGGTGGTGGTGGGGTGAATATTAAGAGGGGAGGGTAAAAATGACAGTGGGTGGGAGCAGGGTAGCAAAAAAGTAACTAGTTTGTTAGTGGCTGACTTACAGCCACCTGCCTGTTCTCAGCACCTGACAACAAGCACAGTGTACCCACCACCCTAGAGAAGAGCAGAAGGAGAGAAGAAAAACAAGATGGACGCATGCACACACACGCACGCACACAAACACACACAAACACACACACACAAGTGATACGACCAACTTGGATACCAAATGGATATCATTTTATTTCTTTGTAAACTTATGTTGGATGGATATGTATCCCCCCCGCACAGACCTGCAGGGATACATTGTGCATATGATTAATATACAGAAATTTGTATATACACTGGTATATACACACACAAGCACACAGATCTAAATGCTCTCTTTCACACACACACACACACACACACACGTGTTGCATACATAATCATGTATATCTTACACTTACATTGCGTGTGTGTGCGCATGTGTGTTTATGTATCAGGCACACACAGACATACATTTAAGGAATACATACATATTTAATACCATATGTTCCTGTACAGTTTCACTATGCAGACTGAGTTTGCAAGCCTCAACAAACAATAGTGGTCACCACATAGTAACATATAGACTGGCTTTACAAAAATTAAAAAATAAAAAGATAAATAAATTTAAAAAGAAATAAAAAGGAAAAAATTTTTTTTTTTTTTAAAAAGTTGTAAAAAAAAAAAAAAAATGAAAAAGAAAAATAGAAAAAAAAAAATGAATATTAAAAAATTAAATTAGGGGGAAATTTTTTTTTTTGTATTTTTGGTTTTTTTTTTGTGTTTTTTTTGTTTTTTACTGGACTATAACAGGCCTGAATTTTTTTTAGATTTTTTTTTTTTTCTCAAAACATTCGAGTTGATTTTCTAATTTTTTTTGTATATGACCAAACCGAAGTCAGACAACAGGATATCAGCCATCCAGGCAAACTCAACTGCTGGTGGCCATGTCTGTCTGTGGTAGTCACTCATTATTGGTGTCATTACCCACAAAGTAAGTGCGAGGCAGGGGAATTAAAGTTTGGCATATAATTTGTTGTTTACAACAACAACAACGACTTTTGTTTAATGATTTTCAAATGCATTTAGTCATTATCAATGTCAAGGACACTTTGACAAAAGACGCTGCTGAGGAGCACAAGTAGGCAGGGTGGCGGCCGCGCCGGCCGGCCATCGGTAGTTAGCCCGCTGGCGCCAGGGGTCGCTGCTGCACATCCCACAATCAGACCAAGTTATACTCCTTTAAGTTTAGTTGTAAAATTGTATCCTTCACAGCTGCGAATACAAATCGGATATTCTCAGTATCTGAAAGAGAAAGTCATTAAAGTTAGTCCGGCATTGAACACAACAGATGCATAACAAAATGAATTTCCACTTATGTCAGATGTCAAACATTCCAAAGTCAAAACAAATTACTAATAGGTACAAAGTTTAGAAACTGACATTTTTCAAAAAGTGAAAAGTCAAGAATTTATTCAACTTCCATTTAAATAAACATCTCAAATACTGAAAAGAAAAAAAACACATTAATCATCCAGTCGTTCAGGGATATACTTGATCAACTGATATGAACACATCATTTATTACATTCAAATTGCCAAAAAAAAAAAAAAAAAACCGAAAACGATTTTTCATTTTTCCTTGTCAGACATTCTGCTCTCCCCAAAACAAGCAGCCATCATGGTTACCTCCCTTGTAGAACAAGTTTCCCTCCTGATTACTAATAAAACTATTTGTCTTCTGTGTAAGTTAGCCACACTCGTGACAATACTGACGAAGTGCTGGAAGTAACATAACTGAGGATCAAAATAGCAGACAAGAAATAAACGATTTTATAACTCGTAATCCAAAGGGAGTTAACTCTCACGATTTAACATTGTTATTTTTTAATTATCTCCCTTCTAAGATGATTACCTCCCTTAATAAAACTATTTCAATAACGATTATCAAGCAGAAAAACCTTTCAAAAAAGATCTATTCACCTTTCTCAACTACATGACGAAATTATGGCAACTGAACAATGGTTTGATAATCTAAGAGATAATCAAATTAAAGGTTTGCCAATCATCGCAAAGTAATAAACGAATCCAATGAAAAAGAAAGTAAACTTCTTACTGAACCAACAAAGCTGAAGATATTCCTCAAAATGAACACTTGTATTTAACATTATTAATAAAGACTACATAACCAAATAAGTAAAATATTGTTGAAAAATGTCTTTCTAAGGGTTATACTTTTGATGGTCTTTAAGATATGAGATTTATGGCATTAAATTTTTTTAAAATGACAGTCAACAAGAGTAAAAAAAAAAAAAAATGCTGTTTGTTATTCTCTTTCCAGAGAAACTCTAGTCAATAAGAATTAAATATTAAAACTATTTTGACATTACATATGGTGTGTGCCTTAATAAGAAACTAAATTTGATCAGCTTTAAAAAATAAAAAATAAACATTAATATGCCAAATCCTATTTCAACCAGGCATACCAAATATTTTTTCAAGTAGATACTTGCAATCAAATAAGTGACAAGTAAAAATTTAGAACACCAAGAAAATATATTTGGCTGTAGTTTTGTAATTTGGTTACATTCTCAGATTTTAGATGAAGATTTTGATTACAAATTGTTGTCAGTTTCTTCTGGCTTGAAATAAGTTCCCTAACTCATTTCCTTTAACCAACAGATTGAGTGTAAGTCAAACAATCCATCAACACGTGTATCCTGTTCGTTACTGCAGTTGCGCTGCTCTGTCATCACTTTAAGAACTTTTATAGATTGAGTGACAGGTCAAATTTGCATAGGTGGAAAGAGAGTTCCATGAAAATATCTGTCTCCGAGATCTGTTTTAAATATATGACTCATAAAGCTGCTATTTTCTTTTGGTGAATATTTTATATGCAACACACGTCCAAATCCATTTTCGTCCCAAAGGTAAGCCATTTTCTCTCATCTTACACAAACTATCTTGGGAAATAATAATTTCATGCCTAGGACCTTAAACAGATGATTTCAAGATAAATTATGCCAAACTTGAGTTTTAAACTGAACCATCCAAGTAGCCACTACTATGGGCATAAAGACTTTTAAAGAATTGACCACACTTTTCCAAAGAACTGATAAAGGGAAATGCTGGAGAGTGGGCACTATGAAACCTCCAAAGTTTCCCTCATATTTTATTGTCACTCTTTAACATCTCTGAAATAATGTCAAAATTTAAGCACAGTAGACATACTTAAAGACAATTCACTCCAGAAAGAATTTAGAATCCAAGGAAATCTCCCAACATTTGTCATGCTATTTAACTGCATAACTAGGGAGAAGATAGATTCATGCCTTTTGAAGGAGCATTAGCAAGAATTAACTGAAACAGAATCGCTTGGAATTTGAACTATTATTGTTGATTTCACCTTTTCTACCAATAACTGATTACACTGTTTATTCATCCATAGATGCAGATCAATACATTGGGTTGGAACAAAATTAGGTGGCATTTGAACACGTCCTTCTCCCAGACTGGTTGCCACCCAAATTTATAAGACACAATCTGTCCTGCTATTTACCCATAACTAGGAGGAAAAGAGATGAATTCATACCTTTCCCAAGGGGATTTGCACTTGAGTGAATACAGCAAATTTAAATGGAATTCAAACTCATCTCTCAGAGTCTTCAATCCAAGCCACTATCCATTATTCTGCTATTATTCCAATTATACATTTTGGAAATATTTATTAATAAAAAAAAAAAAAAAAAAAAAAAAAAGAAAAGATTATCTTTGTGTCCAATTTAAATGAGTTGATGAGATTTAAGGATTTTATAAGAATACAATTAAAGGAGAAAAATGAAAAGAAATTTATTCCATGCCAAAATTTAATTTCTTGAGATGCCGGTAAACATTGATTATCGCCCCTGATCAAAAGTTATTGAAAATCTGAGGAATCAATAGTTTTGCCAACAATTCTTTAAGATGTGAAGAAATATTAAATGATTTTACGAATCAGACTAATTTAATTTGGACTAAAAAGTTAAAAACTGATAAATTTAATAACCAAAATATGACGTACTTCCTTTTATAGAAATATTTATTGAACTGATTCCTTTTAAATTTCAACCCAGTCCAATATTCAAATGAGCTCTAAAAATGAGAGAAACAAGTAATTTAATTTACTGAATCAAATTCAAAATCTTCATATTTGCCTGAATTGATGGGTGATAAATGCAGACCTTGAATATAAAAAATTAGAAAATTGTCTAATCAAGAAATCTAGATGTTGAAATGTGCTACTTTGCAGCAAATAAAAACTGGTATCCCCAGAGTACAAGAAAAAACAAATGTCTATCTATCAAGAAAATGAAACCAAGTTTCGAAACAAAAGTAAAATCAAAAACTATTGCTCACATGTCACCAAATGTGATAAAAAGTCCATTTAAAAATAAAAGATACAGGGGATTAAAGGGAGATAACTTCTGATCTGAAGTCAGAACATTATCATTGATAACTCTCTCCTCCAATTTGCAGACCCTAGTCACTATATTCTTAATACTTGATATAATGCAAAAATATCACAGTGATAAAATTGGTCAATAATTATTTATAACTATTTATACTGGGATTCATGCATGCAATTACAAATAATCCATAATAATATTTTAAATTTTAAAATATTTATTTTTGGTATATGAAATATTTGAAACTGTTTCTAATCTTTGATTGTCTTCCAATCATTCTACTTCACCTGCTATCCTTCTTCCTCCACACCTATGAGGCATGCCACACCATTTGGGAATCACTGCCTTAAAGCAACTAGCATCCAATTAGTTCATTTCTAATGTGTAAAACTGTTAATTTGTTTTAAATGTGTCTGCATGCAATTTCACAGATATAAGACAATTTCAAGAAGAGAGGCTCAAATGAAAATATAAAGAAACTTAATTCAACTCATTCAGCATCGTATTTTCTGGTTTGTCTCAAGAAGGAACAGCCCGACTTTATGTTCAGTAAAGAAATGGAATGACAGAATCTACAAAGGAAAAACAAAAACGAAAAGAAAAAACAAACATGAAATTCATAATCTTCTGAATTCTTCAAGATTTACTTTGAACCAAATACGTCCTTATGCAATGAATATAATTAATTAATGGCTGTCAGAAGAAAAGAAAATATCAATGAATAAATAAATAAAAATAAAAACTATCTACATATCTATAGGGTAAGGATATCTAATTGGAAGCTAAGATATGGATAGACAGAAAGACAAAACTTAACAAAAAGCGGATTTTTTTTTTTTTTACATAAAGAAAAGCAATGGTCACTACTTTTCACAGAGATTTGGACAATTTCTGAAAGCATGTAGTCCAAAAGCCAACAAATCATGTAGCTAGCAAGAATGTTTCAATTTTCTTTTTATCTTTTTTTGCACTCTCTACGGCAATTTAATGAATTTCCACTGTTAATTATCTTTAGGTAAAAAAAAGTGAAACCTTCAAAATAAAAAAAAAAAAGGTAACATGCTTTTTTTTTTTTGAAGAGCTTAAAAAATAAGAAATCTTAACAAATCTGATAGAACAGATGCGAAAAGACAATGGGCTCTGTGGAAATTACCTGTGGGAAGTGGAAATTCATTAATAAAAGCTCAGTTCACATATTTTGAGGGTGGGGTAAGGGGGGAACTAATCTATGTTGCATATTTTATAGAAAAAAGAAGTGTTAAAGTGGACTGCTGAGGGTAAAAAAAAAGAGTAGATATTTTTGTAAACATGGATATGGACACTCCACACCCTCTGCTCCAACAACTTTTGACTTCACACCATTGACTGACTGTCTAACAATGATAATAGCTCATGTGCATCAATAAAATTGCTAAAAAGCATAATAATGTTCAAAATTTTTCCTGTGTGCACCAACCAAATGAGGGGGTAAATAGGCTTGCCATGGGTGTGTACTATTGTTGCAGCTGCTGATTGTCTACAACTGGAGAGAGTGAGCAACTATAGATGGCGATGGCTGTTGTGCCAAGGGGGAGATAACTGTGCTGGTATTAACATACCTGTGGCACAAGTGTAATGGTAATAAAGCATTTTTTCCTTATCTTCATTCAAATCCATGTAAGAATTCATCATGAACTCACGAGCAGCTTCATAATCACATTTTGGACCTGAAATCAGAAAGGTGGGAAAAATGAAAATCCATTGGAAACCATACCTGTTGCACAGGTGAAATGACTATATATAATTTTATCAGGATCAGGGTTTAAATCAACAAACATTCTCAATATGAACTCCCGGGCTGCCTGGGCATCTTTCTTTGGACCTGAAATTAAATCAGATGGGGAGAGGCTGTTAAATGGCTGCTTGAATTAGGTTTAGAAAAAAAATAAAAAGAAAAATACAGGTACAGATTTCATTTAAATCAAGAAATTTAAAAAAAAAAAGTCAACATTATTTACACTATTTACATTGTTCAGAGTGTTGTCCTCATCTTTGTTGCTATATTCATGACATTTCAGCCTTCTTCAAGTGATTGGAATTTCATATTGAACCTTTTATTTCATTGACCAGAGTAGATTGTTCTAGTTCCACATGTCATGGCAGCATCATGAATATACAACAAAGATGAAGTAAACAGTCCAAACAATGTAAATAGTGTAAATAATTACAATAACTCATGTCAGAAATATAGACAGATATTATAAATTATCTTTTAAAGCAATTTCCGTTTAAAACCATGTGAAATGTGTGGTTAGTAATAAAATCAAAGAAAAAAAGTCATAATTCAAGCTAAGAAAAAAAGTCATAATTCAAGCTAAGAAAAAAAGTCATAATTCAAGCTAAGAAAAAAAGTCATAATTCAAGCTAAGAAAAAAAGTCATAATTCAAGCTAAGAAAAAAAGTCACAGGAAAACAAAACACAATTTGGTTTTGTGAGTGACATGTTTGGTATGCATGCACCAGGGACATGCAGTCTAGGTAGGCAGTGGCTACCCTGAATAAAATAGATCAGCATTTTTCTTTCTGTGGCATAATATGCATCGAACCCAACAAAATTATGAAGGTTACTCTGATTATTATGCATAAAATGCAAAATATTTTCTTTTTCTGTAGATTTTTATTACATAAAGGGCACAAGCTGCCTACCCTGGGTAATTACTGATGTCACGTGCCTGACATGAACTCATTGTAGGAGATTTCTCTAAATCCAAGAATTGTTGATCCACACAGAACAGATCTGAGATTTCCACTATTCACGTTGTCTTCAGGGTTAGGATTTTTAAAAAAAGTTTATTAAAGAAAGACGCAGAAACAGTTCTAACATCCTGTGAGTTTTTTTATTTTTTTTACCTGAACTTGTGAAAAGTGTCCTAAAATTATTCATTTTTGATCTATTTGTTGATGCATAGAGTTTGGTGATAATCAAACTAGACTGGATGAAATGGATTCACCAATTGTTTTCTAAATGCAATCAGAAAAGCAAATCTTAAGGCCAAAACTCCAGTTGAAGTCTTATTTCACACAATGACAATTTTACAAGTATCACATCAACCACACAACTTTAAGACAAATGATTTTAAGAAATGAAAATTAACTTGAAAAAAATCAATACAAAATAAATATGAATAAATAAATATTAAACTTCAGCATTAGGTTAATCTTTGAAGAAAGATCTTAATTCCACATACCATTAAAATTCATTTCCCATATTTTCTATTTTGAAAATTTCTTAAACTAATAAAACCTTGCTTTTATATATATATATATATATATATATATTTATTTGCCAGGTAATGAACATTACCTGGCAAATATTTGTTAGTGATGAAGACATGCTAGAGTGGGGCGGCTGTAATAGTATTGAGTCCTTGATACTAAAAAGATCAATTTTAGTGGGTAGGCCACCTCACCAGAACGGATGACAGCCATATTCCAAAGCAATTGTTTTATGGTGAGCTGCAAACAGGGAAGAGAAATGCCATCAAACATAAGATGCACTTTAAGGATTGCATCAAGGATGCACTGAAGAAATACAACATTCCTTGTGAGCACTCTGAAGAATGTGCATCTGATTGCAATAATTGAAATGAGGCTACTCAGAGTGGAAGGTACCACTTTGAGGTACATGAGGCTTAAAAGAGATATGCGTAAAGGCGTCCCCCATTGAACTTCCTGAAGACACCTGCAGGCAGCTTGATCTGACGTGTACAGATTGTGGTAGAGTGTGTTTGTCAATGGCTGGTCTAAGGAGTCACTTGAGAGCACACCGACAGAGGATGGCAATTGACTATAAAACTGTAGACGTCAAGCAATTGAAATGTGATATTTGCAGTAAGACATGTGGGTCCAGAAGTGGTTTTATGCAACATTTTCAATTGCATGATAATGTACCACCTGGTGTTGGACTTCTTAAGTGCCCTGTTTGTGTCAGAGTATTTAGGTCCCTTGCTGGGCTAAAGAGCCACATTCATTCAGCACATATGTAGATATTCTCCAAAAAGATATGTAGTTATGAACCACTTCTTTAGATCAACATTTCTCAACCAGTGCACACTAATGCACCCAGAAAGATAGCCAGGTGCATCCTAAGTTAACAGAAGAATAATTTATGAATTATGTGTATATTTAAAAAAATATTTATTTTTAAAAAGCTTCCATGTCTAAATCAAGTTTTTGTGATTTGATATTTTAAACTGGATGCTAAATTCCTAACAGAAGATGAGGAGCTGGACACTATATCTGCTGATTGTGGTTTACAACTCAAGCATAAAGAGGTGTCCATTGATCAACTTGGGATTGCCATCAAGAAATAGTAAAATATTGGATATTTTATTGCAATTTTCCACATCATACATCTGTGAATTAGGATTTGCTGCTCTTATCAACATTAAATGCAAAAACAGATCAAATTTTAAATTTCATTGATAAGAAAATGGGTGTTTTTCAGATAGAAGATCTAACTTAAAAAAAATTGCCAACATACATTAAGCACAGGTTTTGCACAAGCAGACTTAAACATATAATGTAAAGTCTTAAAAATAAATGCTTATTAGGCACTCTCCTATAAATGAGGTAAAATTAGCTGGCTTGCTTTTCCAAGAAGACACAAGAGGGCAGCCATGTTAGTAGGTAAGTCATTTGACTTCTACACAGAAGAATTCTGTATTTTCAAATTAATATTTCCTTATTAAAATTTACAGTGCACCCCAGAGTTTTAGTTATTTCATAAATGCGGCCAAAAGTAGAAAAGGTTGAGAAACACTGTGTAAAGAGTAAAGAATAAAAAAGTCCATGAAAAGATATTTTAGTTTTTTGTATCTCCTTAGGGAAGAACATTTCAAAAAGTAATTGTTAAAAAAAAAAAAAAAAATGTAAAAAAAAAGTTTTTCATTAAAAACAAAACTTTCTTCCAAACTAAAAAAAAAAACAAATGCAACAGAATTTATAGAAGTAACTGACTTTTCAGAATTACGACAAAAAAATGTTTTGATTTGTCCAGAGAAATCTTTTTTCATTAAAAAAAACAAGATTAATTATCATTTAAGACCCAAGAGTTTAAAAGCAAAATCCAATAATAAAATAAATGCCACCATTTTTTAATTATTTAAAAAGAAATGAAACAAAACAGAAGCGTGAAAGATGGATAAAATGCCAACAAATGGTTTTTAAATGAATGAAAAAGTTTTAACCAACCAAGCATTAAAATAAGTTTCTGATGTACCCCCAGTGAACAAAAGTATTGGTTGAGTCATCCAAAAAGTGACTTGACCAAAAGAGTTGTGAATTCAGTGACTTGGCCACAGCAGAGGAAACAAAAACTTGGAAAATTGATTTACTAAACTGAAACTGAGATATCCAGAAAAGACATGGCATGTGGAACTAGAACAATCTAACCCAATGGACAAAATAAAGGGTTGGGTTCGAAATTCCAACGTATATCACCTGAAGGCTGGAGTGTACAATGGCCAAAATGTTGTGACTATGACAATAAAAATGAGGACAACAGTCTGAATAATGTAAATAGTTTCTGATTTACATTTTAAAGATTTAATGATTTCAAATGAGACATTCCTAAAAAAAATAATAATAAATAAATAAAAGGGGAGGAGGGGTCATGTGAATTTAAAATCTAATTTTATAAGCATACAAATGATGAAAACCTTACACTTATTTCCAAATTGTATTTTGTATATAATTTGGAAATAAAGTGTTAAAAAAGAAAATTAAAAGGAAATCTATTTGTAGCATGAAAGTCTGAGTTCACAAAATTACAAATTTAATTTTAAAAAGATTTTAATTTTATAAAAAAAAAATTACAAGTATCCAAAAGCCAAGTTGGTTATGCCACATTAAGAGAGAGAGAGAGAGAGAGAGGTTATACCACATTGAGAGAGAGAGAGAGAGAGAGAGTGGTTATACCACATTGAGAGAGAGAGAGAGAGAGAGAGTGGTTATACCACCTTGAGAGAGAGAGAGAGAGAGAGTGGTTATACCACCTTGAGAGAGAGAGAGAGAGAGAGTGGTTATACCACCTTGAGAGAGAGAGAGAGAGAGAGAGTGGTTATACCACCTTGAGAGAGAGAGAGAGAGAGAATGGTTATACCACCTTGAGAGAGAGAGAGAGAGAATGATTATACCACCTTGAGAGAGAGAGAGAGAGAGAGAGAGAGAATGGTTATACCACATTGTGAAAGAGAGTGAGAGAGAGAGAGAGAAACAAATTTCATAAAATATTTGCTTACCATCATAGTCTGGAAAATAATCCGCCAGATGGGACGTCATGATCTTTTCTTCCAATAAATCTTTCTTGTTTAAGAAGAGAATCACTGATGAGTTTTGAAACCAAGGATACGTAATAATTGTCCTAAACAGAGCTTTTGATTCCTCCATTCGATTCTAGAAAAGCAAAAACAAAATTATTGAAGGCAAAGAAACAAAGTTTTCATAATTTAAAAAATTCATTGACCAAGTAAGATGTAGGATGTACAGCCAATTGTGTGTGTATATATATATATATATATATATAAATAAATGTATATTTGGGCAGTAACCTTTCTTTTAAATATGTTTCATTAAATGCTGCAGATAAGGAACATTTGTGTTGTTTTGAATAGGAGCATTTATTGTTTGCAGCTGGAATTCACAAGAGCATCTTTCTATTTTTAAAAAACTTTTAACACTCCATTTTCACTGTTAAATAAAAATAAAATAAAATAAAGGCTCGGAATAAAGACTCCTATTCAAACCAACACAAAAACAAAATACAACTTAAACAGTCAAAAACATAGAGAAGAAGTAACAACACCAAAAAGTAAGAAAACCCCCTTGAAAATGGATAAAGAAGTGGTCAAAAGTACTTGAGACAATGAAAATGTCTGTACTCCCTCACTCCTACACAATGAAAAACGTAAAGATGTTGAAAAAATTAAATAAAAAATTAATTAAAAGTTCCTTGTCTTCCATATTTAATGATATAAATATATATATATATAAATATATATTTATTTTTCTTCACACCACTGAGTTAACAAGGCCTAAAAGTAAGTTTTGTGGGTCACAAAAATAGCCATTCAAATTATGTAATTTTGGATTTCTATTCTATGTAATATATATATATATATATATATATATATATATATATATATATATATATATATATATCTCAAGGTTGATAATAACAGAAAATTGATTTTAGCGTTTGTTAAGGGCTAATACAAAAGCATTTCTCAAAAAAATTAACACCACATGTTTCAGTCCTTACTGATGTTTTTTTCCCCTTCTCAACTGATTAAATTTGGTCATTTATTTCCCTAATCCAAACACTAAACCATTCAAATTGAAACCATGTTCTATATTACTGATGGTGTTAAGATGGATGTAGGCTACACTTGTGTGATTATGCATTTTTATGCTACCACTGGAAAAAATTACTAAAACATTAGAACAGAGAAAAATAAAAGGAGCTAATTTTTTTGAACCAGCTTAAAAAAAAATGAATAAAAATAAACCTTTTTTTAAAATTTTATTTTATTTTTTGTTTTTAACTCCGCCTTTTCGATATAATTGTTTTTTCTCTAAAGGATGTCTCCTAATAAAATTCGTTTTGCATTAGGCTGTTTCACTCAAAAAAAAAAAAAAAAAAAAAAAAAAAAAAATATAGCATGGCACCAGGGTCGGTCACCCCACCACCCTCCACGCACACACAAAGACCACACTACTATGTGTTGATTTCAAAGTTTTCCAACCTGGGTGCCACAAACCCACAAAAGAAAATGGTGTGTGTGGTTAGAGGAAAGGTGGCACTTTTTTTAAATTACAAAAAATCAGGGAATTATCCAATTTAAATGAAAATTTCAGTACATTTCATTAATTCTTTACTTTTATAATGAATAAGTTTTTTATTTTAAAAAAATCTGAGAAAATGTTATTCCTTTTGTAATAACCACCAATACTTTCATGACTAAATTTTACTTGAAAAATGTTTCAGTTGCAAATTTTGATATTTCCATAAAGATTAATCGCCAACGCATCTCCACTGAAAAAAGAGTTTTACAAAGATTACAACACAACATAAACGGGATTGTCTTAAAAATTTGTTTTTAAAAACAGTATTTGTTTTCTGGAAAATTTTCCATGTGTTAAAATCTTTAAAAAATTTTATTTTTTAAGTAATCATTTTCTCGGTTTCTAGAAATGTAAAAAATATGAACTAGAAATTTTATTTTAATTACTAGTCATGGACTTCTGGTTAGTATGACTATTAGTAAAAAAAATAAAAAAAATTAGAGATCCTCCTTAGTGGATGATCTCGGAATAAAAAATGATTTTACCGAACTTATATTACATTCTTAATTGATTTAAAAGAACTGTTCAGAAAGAAGATTACAATTGAAAAAAAAAAATAAGCACTATGGTATTTAGCATTTCTGTCCCCACCCCCTCCCCAATAGGCATGGGGGCCCCCACATGGTTGAGAAGTATGGGGTAGTAAGCACCGGCCTTGTGGATTATTATAATTGATGATTCACAATATAACTTGGGTAGAAAAAAAAAAAAAATTACAAAAGACATAAAAAAACATCGCTAGCCCTTTCGAAGCTCCAATCTAGTCAGGGATTCCTGCATAGTACACACTGCACTGGGCATGTAGATATTATTAGTTGATGACAGACAATGTAACATCAGTTTAAAAATAATTTTAAAAAAAAATAAAGCAGATGGCCATAAAACAGTGCTGAAAAAAAATAAAAAAGGATAAAGGCTACGATGAGAGCCCCCCACCCTGCTTTGTGGAACAGACTCCCAGGTTTTCCCAATCACTACAATCTTGACTTCTTCAAGTCTTCCTGCATAACCCCAGGAACTTCACTTCTTGCTATTTTTTGACGCTCATACAGTAACCCTCTATCTTGAGTGGCTCTTGGGCCTTGCATTGGGTGAAAATTAGTATTAAAAAAAAAAAAAAAAAAGAAAAGTAAATAGTCAAGAATAAGTTTTTGTAATATTTTAGAGCGAAAAGGTTAAATATATTTTGGTTGTCATACATGCCAGAAAATGTTATTGATGCAGTTCAAAAAAAATCATTCACTTGTGTAATCAAACAAACTACATGCTCAGTAGAACAATATGTCAAAGTTCAGAGTTTCACGTATCAAGTGGACAATTTCAAATAGTGAGACATGCTCTTTAACAGATGTAGCAACATTAAGTTTTTATTAGAAAGTGACTTATTGGAAATTTATTTTCTTTCTTTTTTTTAACTCTGTAAAGATTCAAATCCCATTTTATATTTAGAAGTGATGAATATGCAATCAAGTGAAACTTTTCTTCATGTTAAGTCAGAAGATGACAAAAAAAGATGATAAAAAAAGAAAAACGTGGTTAGTGGAAAGGAAAAAAAAAAGAAAGAAAATTAAGAAAAGTGAGGAATAAAAAAATTTGAATGAAAGGTAAAAAAAAAAATATGTAACTCAAGAGGAACAAAATGTAGATTGATTTTTATCATCCAAAAGATTTTTTTATTCAGCTTAAATAGGATTTTTCAAAGTGACAATTTTCTATTATCTTGCAATATCTACCAATTCCATTATAAAAAAAAAATTATAAAGTTTTTTTTTTTAGTCTATAAAGATTCATGGAAAGCTGAATTGTTATTTGGGGAGGAAAAAAATGGTCATGAATTTGTTTCCATAGTTTCACAATAAAAAAAACCATCAGAATGGCAATCAAAATTTTTGTAATTGACTCTTATCATTTTATATCATAAAAAAATGTCTTCTATTTTTTTGCTTTTTATGATGAATACAGGTTTGCTTCAATTGTTAAGCTTTCATCATTTACATAAAAACAAATAAAAAAACATGAATATTCAATCTGAAATTACTGAGTTTAGAGGATGATGTTGGTTGAAATATAAAAAATGATTCAGTTTTTATGTAAATCTGATTTTAAAAAATATTAACGAGGACAAAATGATTAAAGTTTTCAGTAATTAAGAGCAAATAATTGAACATTACAGCAAGTGACAACCAAAGTGTTCCAATTTTATAATAGAATAAAACAAGGTAAAAAAAAAAGGGTCTAACAAGTTTTTGTATTTTATTTATAAACCGTTTTAAAAGAATTATCACCCAGAGAAACTAAAATTGCTAGATGTTAAATTGTCAATTTCACACTTAAAGTGCCACTTTAAACATTGTGTTAGCTGAAAGACAGAAGTATAAAAGGGTTAGTGTAAAACAGAAAGACTTTGACGACATGCTTTGATGATGCATAAAGGTAGTCAAATTAAGACAATGAATCATACAACAAACATCTAAAAACACCAAAAAATGGTCAAAGCTTGTCATGCTTTCAGAAAGGGCGGCATAACACCAACAATATTTAAAAAGGAGGAACAACAAAGTTGCAAAGGACAGGGAAAGTGCAAAAGACTGTTGGGATATCAAATGGGCATTAGAATTATTCAGTAGGAGATGAAACTTTGAAACAGAAATTAGAGTTTGGTTTACTTTGGAAGTTAAGAAAAATGTGTTTGGGAAAATGCAATCCATTTCTCTTTCTAATAATATAAAAATGAAAGTCACATCTTCACATGATTGGCTAAAAGTTGGACCACACCTTCCAATTAATATTACAAGAAACTTAACAGGGTATCTAAACAAGCAATTAATATGACTAAGAAAATCGTACTAAGAGAATTAGTAGCAGCATAAATATTTGATAGGTGCACCCTGATATCCCAGGAGGCAATAAGGTAAAAAGATTTTAACACGTCAGTGTATTTTTTTTTTTCTGGTTCATTTCAGATAGCAGCTAAAACATCACAAAGATGAAAATAGCTCAAAGAATTCACATAAATTCATGCAGACATTTACAAAGCAAAGCATATCAATGTTTCCAAAATGCATATTAGAATTTTCTGAGAAAAACCAAGTTCACAGAAACCAATAATAGATTCCTTTGTAAAACTACTAATTAAGACTTAGCTACTTTGCGCATCATTGTTAGATAATGAAGCACAAAGTACTGTTAGTCATTTTGGGGGATCCATCTTTAATTAGTCCAATTAATATGACAATCCGAAGGACATAATAATATAAAATTTATATATCAGACTAATAGTCGGCAATTTGGATGATAAAAATGGAAAAGGTCCTATGTTACATGTTTCAACCTTCAAAAGGACTTCTTCAGAACTAATAATGTTTTTATTGATGGAATCATATATATGTAGAGCAAAATATAAAAAAAATGATGGTCAGAATGAATTTCTCTCTATGTATATGCTGTAGCATACCTGTGGATGATAATGGCTATGTCCCCATTCTCATAAATACAATAGTAAATACTGTATGTTGGTCTGCAGTTGGAGATTCATTGTAGAATTCACTTGACTCATTTCTAGCAGTTGACTACTACTTCTACGTGCCTATGACGAATCTTATATGTGTTGTTCTTGTCCTAAGTATTATCATTCATTATCAACCTTTGTGTGATTATTCTATTCAGTAACCTTCCCTAGGTTACAACTGTATAATTATAAGTGACATTTATAATAATACTTTCCCTCTCCCCTTATATGAATACGATTCCATCAATAAAAATATTATTTCTGCTGAAGAAGTCCTTTCAAAGAGAAAAATATGTAACATAAAAATTTTTCAATTTTGATTGATCAATTGATTCATTCATTCTCTATGGCTTATCAACCCTTTGCAGGTTACTTATAGTCAGGAAATATTTTTTAGATTCTAAGAATAATAATTTAGTGATACAAGTTTTACTAATTAACCTATAGCTGGGGGGAAAGAGATAGATTCATAATTTTCCCAAGGGAATTTGCATATAAATGAATATAAAGAACCCAACAAGAATTGGAATTTGGTTCTCTGATTAACAATTGCAAGCCATTATCCATTGCTCCAACTGGACATCCAAGCACCATGTATTCCTAAGCAGTCACCCATCTAAGTACTGACAAAGTCCAATGTTGCTTAACTTTGAGGATTGTATGGGAACTGGTGTTTCAATATGATGTGGCCATAAACCTTTTTCCATTATTGCCATTAAATTATCCATTTAATGTTCAAAGAGGAAATTTGCTATCACCTGTTGATAGATTGGCATGAGAAAGTAATAAAAATATTTGCCAGGTATGCGGATGGTATAAAACTCATTTAAAAAAAGAAAAAAAAAAGCAGATGATGTAATAAGTAACAAATCCACTTTTAACTTGAGAAACAAAGAAAATCACTGACCTCAATAGAAGAAAAGGTGCAACTAGTATCAATATTTTCAAAGTTTTCTGGGGGGGGGGGGGCAAAGTAGATAAAAAGACCCAAATGAAAAGACCAAGATGTTATCAATAAGATTATCAAGAGCAGGAATAGCAAAAAAACACCTAAAAACAGATCCTTGACTGATTTATTTTTTACGGCTTATCAACCCTTTGCAGGTTATTTAAAGCCAGAAAATATTTTTACACAGTAAAAATCTTTTGGAGATAATAACGATTTTTACAGATACAAGTCCTACAAATTAACCCATAGCTTAGAAGTGAATTCATACCTTTCCCAATGGTATTTGTGCATAAGTGAACATAACAAGCCCAACTGGAATTGGAACTCGGCTCTCCAATTTCCAATTTTGAGCTGTTATCCATTACACCACCTGCACATCCAAGCTTACCTGGTATTTTCAAATGGTCATCCATCTAGATAATGACCAGGCTCAACATGGAAAAACTTTTTTTTGATCATATAAGAATTGGTGTTTTCAATATGATACATTAATATAAGTAACAAATTTTGAAGAAACATTTATTTTTTTTTTTTTTTATTTAGAAAAAAAAATATTGCTTAAGACAAAATAACATTTGTTATTAATGGGTTGTAAGGGTTAAAATCAGGCACAGGCAAAACCTTTTCAAGCAGTGCGTTACATGAGATATGTCTCATCATAACATGGGCCACACTACTAAAAAAAAAAAAAATTCATGGTCATTTTTTGTTGAAAGTTCCTCAGATATTTCAATACAGAAGACCATACACATAAGAATCTGCCTTAGAAGATTGTTTTGTTTTTTAAGAAAAGATTTTTTTCCATAATTAAAAGATTATATTTCTTGATATACAAAAACTGATATTGCAGCATGATTAGTACAGACTGAAGTTCTGCATGATTTCTAATTTATTCATCTAACCATACAAGAATGAATATTTTTCTCTTTTTAAAAAAAAAACATGTTTATATATAATGATTTTTTTAGTGAAAAAATCACCAATAACAAAAAATTTGAAAATTTTTTTTTCATTTAAAAAGTGTACAAAGTTCAAGAAACATTTTTTAATAATTATGTAAAAGAATTTTTTTGAAGAAAATTTGTGATATGAACAAAAAAATAAAAACAAATCAAACAAAATTGAAATAAACAAATTTTAAATAGAAAATTAAAAAAAAATTTTAATTTTTAAAATTTCAAATCTTTTTCTACTCATGAATTTAATATTAGAAGAATAACTAAACAGAAATTAATGTCAATTTTTTAAAGATTTCAAAAAAAAAAAAAAAAAAAAAAATTTGTTTTTTATGAAAAACAAATTTTTGAACTAATAATTTTTATGAAACAATTTATTAAATCAATTTTTATAAAAATGAAAATTTTTTTAGAATGAATTTTTTTTTCTAAAATGAAGAATTAAAAATGTTTCAATGGAAATAAAGTGTTGATTTTTAAGCCTCTTGAAAGTAAAGCAATAAGTAAAAAAAAAAAAAAAAAACTTACAAAAAAATTTTTACTAATTTTTTTGAAAATGTATATTTGGTGATCAATTGTCTGAATCTGTGAGAAGTGTAGGTTTAGGTTTAGTAACGATAAAATATTGACATATAAAGAAAAATATGCACATGATAAAAGGGTATATAGCAGTGACCATTACAACATGGTGGAGAAAAAAAAAATTTTTTTTTGCTTTTTAATTTTATCCCACGAATGATTGGTTTTTAATTCAAAATTTTCAAAAAAGGAGACAAAATGATGACAACACTAACATTGTGCTGACTATCGGTGAGAAGACTGGAGATTACAGTGACAGTGAATGGGACACAAGAGAATAGGGTCGGCTTACCTCCTGAAAATGACAACATTTTCAGGTTTGTAGATGCAGTTTTAAAATCGTTCGAAGACATCAAGGTACCCAGAATGGAAAAGAATATTTGCTTGAACCATAAAATTGAAAAACATTTGAAACAAAACATAATATAAAAAATTTTTTTATTTTTGTTTTTTTTTTTTTTTTTTTTTAAAGCAGAGATTAATTCTTTTCAACAATTGACAATTACAGAAGTTTATAAGGTCATCGATTTAAAAAGAACATTAGACCATTCAAAATTATTGCAGGATATCAAATAAAATTAGATGTACATAGAATGAAATGCCCACAGAACATCTTATGTAAACTAAATTTATTCATTATTGTAACAGGTTATCTGAAGCAGAGGAGTATTTAGGAGATGCAACAAAATTTCTTTTCAAAAAAAAAACAAAATAAAAATCAAAAATTAAGATTAATCAATGACAAATGGAATGTCCATGTTACAAAAATTTGTGAAAATCATTTTAAAAAAAAATGTTGATTTTTCTTTTTAATAAAATTTTTTAAATAATTTGGAAATTTTTTTAAAAAATGAATGAAGACAAAGAAAATTTTAATTTTAAAGCCGAAATAAAATACCTCATTATCAGATTCAACCAGAACTTGGTCATATTCACAGATTAACAATAATTAAAAAACATGATGACTTTTAACATTTTCAAAAAAATGAAAAATATATAAAAAATTTTTCTGAAAATTTGGCCTCCATTAAATACCATTCTAAAGAAAAGAAAAAAAAAAAACAAATATCAAAAAGAATATTTGTATTTGAATTGAGATCAAAAAATATATTTAAAACTTCAAAAAACAAAACTGCACAAAATTATTTTAAATAACAAATTAAATAAAAATTTTTATGTTAATGTATTTTTTGAGAATTATTCCCAAATTCAATTAGGGGCTGAAGAAAAAATCTTAAAAAAATTAATTTCTTTAAATGCAAATCTAATTTACAAGCATAATTTTTAAAATTGAAAATAGTAAATTGCTAATTCTATTTAATAAGAATCTTATTTTGTTGAAATCTTTGAGATGAAGTATTAATATTATTCTTTATTTTTTTATTTTTTTGACTTTTTTGAAAAAAGTTTTTTTTGTCATTAAAGAATTTTTTTTTTTACATGGCCCTTCAGAAATCTCAATGTAAGTAGCTCATTTCTACTTTTATATTTGCTTGGTAGATTATATTAGGCAAACTAGCCAATGGGTAGCTGTTTCTATATCCACAGTTACAAAAATAATTTGTAGATTTATTTCCCAAAACAAATTAAATTATGTTTTAAATAAATTTTTTTTAATGATTTTCTTGAATTGAATATTTTTTTATTAAATTATCAGAGACAAATGAATATATCAATATGTTTATTTCAAATTTTTGATAAACAATTATTTATAATAAAATTTATCATTTGCATAGATATTTATTAATGACCTGAGGATGTTCTTTGACAGGTCATCATTAATATATATCTGGGAAAAACTCTTTTTCCAATTTAAAAGTTTTAGTTTCAAACCAAAAAAACTCAATTGTTTAAAAATCTTTTCTCTGCTTTTATCCATACACCTGACATTGCAACAGTGTTAGAACTATTAGGCTATCATCTTCATGATATAAATCCTACATCACTCTTATTGATCGTTTCTCTTTTCGTAGTAGATAGATCCAAACTGTTTCACAAACTTTTGCTCTATTTTTGCTCCCACAAGTGTTTTTCTAAATCCAGTTTCATTATGGAAGAACATAGTATTCTAAGAAGTTTTGATTTTCTAATGGTAGTCATATTAATATCCATTTTTTTTTAACCATAATAATATTATATTAAATACTTCACAGATTAAAAAAATATTTTGATATCAAATTGCATAAATGTGTATCTTTGCTTGTTTATGATTCTATTAAACCATCCTGTTTTTTGTTCCTTAAAAAGATTTTTTTTTTAGAATTATTTTATATACATAAAGGGTTTAATTTTTAAAATTTTTTTTTGATTTTGTCAACTGCACAGTATAGTAGGGTCAGTTGGGCACCATCTGTGAGAAAAAGAGCACCATGATGCAATTCACTCTGCCAGAAATTTGGAAATGGCATGCTGTACTGCTTGGCATTCATGCCAGAAGCTCCAATACAAACATTTCAGAGTGTTTGGGTGTCAATCTGAGGACAGTGCAGAGGATTTGAAAGAGTTGGATGAGTCTAATGGTGATTATGAAAGGCAGTTTGGAATGATCACTGATCATTCTGATAAGAAAAGAACTCCCTGAATTTGTTGGTGAGGGCCTCAGACTCAACATGGAGGCCTACATCAAGTGCCTTGAGGAGGTAGTGCTGCCCTGGGTCAAGAGGGTGGCTGCTGGAAGACCCTATGTCTGGCAACAGGACTCTGCACCATGCCCACACAAGCAGGAGAACCCAGTCATGGCTGTCAGACAATTTCAACCACATCACCCCTTACATCTGGCCACCTAACTCCCCAGACTGCAACCCCCTTGATTATTATGTGTGGGCACAGTTGTTGCAAGAGACCAACAAAAACTTTTGTAACACCAAAGATGAACTGAAGGCAAGGATTATGGCAGCATTCACCAACTTAAACAAGGAGACTGTCCAGAAGAGTTGCAGGAGATTCCAAAGTCATCTGGAGGCCATGGTTGAAGCCAATGGCAATTTTATTGAATAAATTTACTCTTTAGTATTTCAAGATATTTTTGTGTAATTTTGGTAAATATATCTGTTAAAATGAGATGTCAGTGTGTTTTTTTCATTTTTGCATAATTTAGATGACAATTTATCCATCGCACCTGTATATATAATATATATATATATATATATATATATATATATATATATATATATATATTTATATAGAATAAAAAATAAAAAATATTTATATAAAATTCATTAAATTTTAATTTAAACATTGTTTATTTTTTTATATAAAATAAAAATACAAATTTTCATGAAAAATTTTTGATTCAAAAAAAATTTATATAACATAAATAATATAAATAATAAATATTTAACATATAATAAAATATAAAATATTCAAATTTTTCTTTTATTAAATAAATAGAATTTTTTCAAGAATTGTTAAAAATATATATAATTTTTTATTATATATATATATATATATATATAATTAATATTTTATAAATAAAAATTTCATTTTGAAATTACATCAAAAATAAAAATTTTTTTTTTAAAAAAATTTTTATTTAAATTAATATTTTTTTTTTTAATATTTTTTAAATTTTTAAAATTAAAAATATTAAAATAAATAATTAATATATAAAATAAATTTTAAAATAATAAAAATAGAATTTAAAATAATAAAATTTTTAAAATTTAAGAAATTGAAAAATAAAATTTAAAAAAAATAAATAATTAAAAATTAATTAAACAATTTATAAATTCAAGAAATTAAAAAGAAAAAAAAAAAATAAAAAAAAAACATAATATATATAAATAAAAAAAAAATAAAATTAAAATAAAAATAAATAAAAAATGTAATTCAAACAAAAAAAAAATTTTTCATAAAACCATTTGAGATTTTTATTAAATTTAACATTAAAAAAAGATATATTTAATTTTAAATGAACATTTTTAAATTTGAAATAAAAAAAATATATCAAAAATAAAATAAATAATCATAATAAATTTTTCCAGTTTTTATTTAAATTATAAAAAAAAAAAAAAATTTTTAAAAAAAAAAACAAAAAATCATAAGAAAAATTTTCAAATTTCCATTTTTTTTTAAAAAATTTTTTAATTATATAAATAAACTAAAAAAACCAAAATATTTCAAAATCAAAAAAAAAAAAAATATTAAAAAATTTTTTTTTTTTTTAATTTTTAAAAAATTTTTTTTTAAAAATTTAAACTTATTAAAATAAAGGTACAAAATAAAAAATAAAAACAATGAAAATAAAAACATTAATTTCAAAAAAAATTTTACAAAATATAAAAAAAATTTTTTTTTTTATTATTTATTAATTTTTAATTTTTTATAAAATTTTCATATAAAAAAATGTTTTTAAAAAAAAAATTAATTTATTTTTTTTTTCATAGAAAAATATTTTTTTTTATAAAAAAAATTTTTTTTAGTCAAATTTAAAAATTAATTTTTTTTATTTATTTTCCTTTTTAAAAAAATTCAAAAAGTTAAAAACATTATTTAAAAAAATTTAAAAAAAAAATTTAAATTTATAAAAAAAAAAAAAAAAATGTGATCAAATATGATTTTTTCTTTTCAACAAAATTTTAATTAATTTTTTCAAAATTTTTGGAAAAAATTTACCAAAAAAAATTTTTAAAATAAAATTTTATTTAATTATTTAATATTTTTTTTTGATTAAAACAAATGCAACAAAAATTTTATTAAATAGAAAATGAAAATTATAAAAAAAAATTTTTTTTTTTTTTTAATTTTTTTTATCAAAAAAAAATTTAAAAAAAAATTTTTTCCTATAAATATATTAAAAAAAAAAAACAGAAATAAGATTAAGATGAAAAAAGATAACCATTAAAAAAACAAATAAAAAATTAATTCAAATAAAAAAAAATTATCAATTTATTTAAAAAAAAAAATGATTGATTTTTTGATAAAAATTGTTAAAAAGATTCTAAGCTAATATTCATTAAAGTTTTTTTTTACAAAATTAATATAAAAATCATTTTTTTAAATCAATTTGTTTTAAATTTGCATAATTTAAAAAATTTTTAAATTTTAAATTTATATATATTATGGTATTTGAAAATGTAATTGCATTTTTGCATTTTGGAAAAAAAATTTTAAAAAAAAAAAAAAAAAATTTAAAAGTGAAAAAATTTTTTTAAAATTTTTATATAAAATTCAAATAATATTTTTTAAAAATCAATAAATACAACAAAAAAAATAAATATTATTAAATGTTTTTGGACATTAAATTTTTAATTTTTTTTTTCCATTTTTGAAATTTATTAAATCAATGGATTTTTATTTTTGAAAACCAAAAAAAATAAAAATTTTAAAAAAATATTTTTTATGAATATTCCAATGATTTAATTTTTTATATATTATAATTTTTTGAGAATAAAAATTGAAAATAGATTTTTAAAACAAAAATTATTAGTTTTAAAATTAAATTTTGAAATCAATTTAAAATTAAAAATTTAAAATAAAAAAAATTCAAAAAAAAAAATTTTTCTGAAAAAATTCAAAAAAAAAAAAAAAAAAAATGAATAAAATCATCCAAAAAAAAATTTATTTTTTTGAAAAAAATTTTTTATTTAATTTTAAAAAATAAAAAAAACAAAATTTAATTTTAAATTTTTGAAAAATGGATAAAAAAAAAAAATTATTGGAAAAATTATTTAAATGATATTAAATGAAATTTGAAAATTAAAAAAAAAAAAATTAAAAAAAAAATAAATTTTCAAACAATTTTTATTGGTTTATAAATTTTTTTCAAATTTATACAAAAAAAATTCAAAAAAAAAAAAATTAAATTTGAAATACATATTTAAACAATTTTTTCAATTTAAATATAATAATATTTAAAAAATTTAATGAATTTCAATAAAAATAAAAAAAAAAAGAAAATGCCTCAATTTGAATTGAAATAA